AAAAAAAAAAAAAAAAAAAAAAAAGAAAATGAAGAAGAAGAAGAAGAAGAAGAAGAAGAGATCGTGCACACTCAATCCTGTAATACGTCGAGAATGCAAACACCGCAGGTAAACACTGAAGTGGACTATTGTATTATTGGTAGAGGTAATAATTACGGTTGTGTAGCATTCAGCTCGTGCTTGTGAAAGCATCCAGGCCCATGGGTTGGGTGATTGCCACTGACTGGTCATTTACTGAATCGTTATATTTCCATTTCCGTTCGTTATTTTCTGACTTGTTATATTTACGAAAGATTGGAATCACGAGTTGTTTTTCTTTTTGTTCTTTGGAGAAAATTGCATCTGTAAGTTTGTAACCCCCGAGAATTCCATTTATGCCCAGTCCAAAGGGCCCACATGCATCGTTTTTTACCCCTGACTACACTAGATTCTTCTCTCAAATTCTTTCCTCCACTAATAATACGCTAAGTTAAACCCTGTACTACCCCACTTTTCCCATGTGCTAATTTATACCTGAACCCGGTCCCACAGGCCATCATCGGTCACGACGCACGCAATTACGCTCCCCCCTCCCACCGCCCCTCCGCCCCTCCCCTCCTTCCAGCTCCAACCCCCTTTTAACCCCTTCCTGCATTTTCCTTCGATGGCTCGAACCTGGCCAACCCCTTCCGCCAATTACGCACGAGGACTCGCGCATCTGAATTCGCTGAATTCGTTGACGTCATCCGTTCATCATTGGAATTCGTTCTTCTCAGCGAAACTGTTCTCTAACCGTGGTTACTTTCTTTTCTTTCTCTCTTTTTTTTTTTTTTTTTTTTTTTTCAACGTGGTCACTTTTTTCACCACAGGTTCATTCACTCCTTCGGTTACTTGAAAGTAATTGTCAGTACAGGCTGCTGCGATCTCTATCTCCTGAGCTTCGTCCCATAGAGCCCCGCACGGCGCATGCCCCCCTCTCTGTTTGCTAAGGCCTGCCATGTCGGGCTCGCTCGACACTGAGTCGACAGTTCTCTGTCTACTCTTCCCATAGCACCTCCCTGCACTAGGCCTCGGAGCACACCCTTCTCTCTCCCCTGTTCCATCCCACGATCAATCACGTCACCAACAATCTTGCCACGTCAGCATCAATCAGGACCCCAGGTGCTGAAGTTCCCCCACGGGCTGCCACGTCCGTAGTAGCCTTGCAATTCTCCAAAATCAAAGGGTCGAAGAGCGAGACGCGCGAGATGTTTGGGTTCATATGTCAGTTTCGGGTTGTGCTCGCTTCACATAATTTTTCGACCGGAGTAGGCCTCACTGCTAAGGGGATGGGAGAGTAAGCAACAAAGCAAAGGGTATCATGGGAGATTGCGCCAGGGATGACCGTCGGCGCATCTTAAACCAGAAAAGATGAAATCCGACCTCACCGTCATCCCCTGGGTTCAGGGTATAGTCGATGCTGATCCAGATAGGAGGATTAAGCAAAAGAATGAATGTCTACCGTCTTCGCAGCCGAACGCAAAAAGCACCCTCATTACGGCTGTACCGGACCGGGAAGATAGATCGTATACACATTCATGATCAGGGCGCGTTGTGTTCGAGGGAAGACGGTTGTTGTGGGACTCCCTACCGATGTGCTCTTTTGCAAACCAAAAAGGGCCATCTTGCACGCGTATTACTTACATTTTTCGCTGTATCAGCCACGCCCACAGTGCCGAAGATTAGTACATCGACGCCGAAGATTACGCCTTCACCAATCGAGATATCCGTTTGCATTGCTACCCTTGTCACATTCATATCAAACACATACCTGCAGATCTGAGCAATGGTGTCACGTAAATGAAAATGATGCAAAAGCGAACAGCTGCACAGTACCTTCAATACAGGCAGTCTGTTTGACATCCGCTACCGTACCTTGATAGTGACGACAAGCAGAGAAAACAACCGTTTGGATCCGAACAAGTCCCAGCCATTTACAACAAAGCAGAGAAAAACACTTTGGGCAACAACAGACGACTTGAAGGCAGTGGCCATATAGGAAGAAGGAAACAGAAGCACGGGAAAAAAAAAAACACTCTTCGCCAAGAAAACACACTCCGACAGAGAACAGTCCGAATCAAATCACCCCCCGAGTTCCAGCTCTCTTCTTCCGGAAAAACGGTGAAAACGACGGAGTAGCACTCCCCATACAAAATACTGGTCGCGCTTCCGGAAAGAACAAAACTTATCACGATCATCATTGCGAATTCCAATCAATCAAATCGATACGGGAGGGGCACCGTTAAAGTTTGAACCCCAATGGAATAAATAAAATGTCGAACTGCCTGTTTGTAATTCGTCTTCAAGACTTCAACCAAATGCACAATGCAAACGACGGATGCCACTGACTGTCGACGAGAGGGTCCATGTCCTTTTTTCTCTTTCCCTTTTTTTTTTTTTTCTCTTTTCCTTTTCGAGAGTGTTCCCGTCCTAAGATTCCTATCTACGAACCACACACCTAGCGGTCTGAACCTAACCCTACCCTACCCAACCTCGTAAAACTCTGTGACGACCCTCTCTCACCCGGCGATTGAAACGCAGAGAAACTCCGGCCATGGAACACCTGCTATTCTACGTAAGTCTAACCTAGACGATCCGAAGCAAACGCAGAGAAAGTCTGGCTATGGATCACCTACTGTTCTATTCTACGATGGCATATGCGATCAACCGCCTGCCTTCATACGAGGCTTGGAAGTCGCCGATGCAGATTTCCTATACAGTTAATTAGTAATGAATCCCGCCCACACTTCAGTACTTGTAGTCCTTGACGTGCAGACTCTCGGACGCTCCCTCGAYCGCGGGAGCGCCACTGTATTTGCCGAGCGTCGCCTCCCCGTTGCCYTTGGCGCGCACAAAGAACGCCTTCTGGGCCGCCGCAACGTTCTCCACCTTGCCTCCCCAYGCCTTSAGCGTGCTCGCCTGCAGCGCCCTCCCGTACGAGAAGGACAGCGTCCATGGCTTCGTGGCTTCCAAGGCGTTCATCGCGTTCAGATTCAGGGTCGCCTCCTCCTCGCTCTGCCCGCCCGACAGAAACATGATCCCGGGAACGGCCGCGGGAACCGTCCTCTGCAACGTCCTCACCGTGTATTTTCCCACGACCTCCGGCGCCACCTTCGCAACGTCCGATCCCGGCGTGACCATGTTCGGCTTCAGCAAGGTGCCCTCCAGCAGCACGTGGTGGTCGCTCAGAGCCTTGTACACCGCCGCCAGCACCTTCTCCGTTACCGCCGCGCTCTTCTCGATGTCGTGCGTGCCGTCGATCAGGATCTCCGGCTCCACGATCGGCACCAGCCCGTTCTCCTGGCAGATGGACGCGTACCTGGCCAGCCCATCCGCGTTGGACTGGATTGCCAGAGGCGTAGGGCATCCGTCCGCGCTAATCTTCAGGACGGCGCGCCACTTGGCGAACCGCGCGCCCGCCTGGTAGTACTTGGCACACCTGGCGCCCAACCCGTCGTGCCCTTGAGTCGTGGTCTCGCCGTTCGTGCCTGCCAGGGCCGCAACGCCGGTGTCGACCTTGATGCCGGGCACCACATCGGCCTCCTTGAGGAGATCGACGAAAGGCTTCCCGTCTGCCGTCTTCTGGTAGAGCGTCTCCTCGAACAGAATGACRCCGCTGATGTACTGCATCGCCCCGGGAGCSGTGAAGAGAAGCTCCCTCAGAGCCMTCCTGTTGGATWCMACATTCTCCACGTTGATGCTGGCCAGTCTCTTCCCRATGGTGCCCGTGCTCTCGTCAGCGGCGAGGATACCCCTCCCAGGGGTCGCAATTTTCTTCGCCGTGGCGATGAGCTCGTCCGCGTACTTGCCAACGTGCGCCATTTTCCTTCCAACCTTCCTTCCTTCCTTCCTTCCTTCCTTCGGTGTTTGGTAGGGTCTGAGCGATGGCAATCGCTTCAGGCACTCGGTTGGATTTAGAGGAACGGCAGATTGTATGAGAGCTCTTCTGTACCTCTCCTCTCAGAGAGTGCTATATTTATACTTTCTGATTCGTCATCAATGCAGGCTTTGATTCGGCGGCAATAAGAGAGCTGCTTTGATTCGGCGGCAATAAGAGAGTTGCCGAATCAAGGTCTGCGCTCCCGATGGCTCCGATCTATCTGTGGGGAGCAGCACATGCGGAAAGCAATCTTTTTTTTTTTTTGTTTTGTTTTTTTGGAAAGTCTCAACATTTATATTACGAATCATAGGAATGAAGCCGGGGACCTCACAATTCAACCCGGGAGGTGTGGGGCCATTACCCACATTCGACTCCAACAAAAAAACTTCTGGAAACCGGGTCCAGTGTCCCATACCTACTCAGCTACTTTCCAAAATTAAAGCCATGAAGTCCAAACCCCAAGAGGGGAAAATTACACGAAAGACCAGACCACTATTCCAGATACTGCAAATTTAGAACTTAGGCGCAACATCCGGGGCTAGGTCCCACTTGCACGAATTAAGAGATACTGACCGTAGATACCAAAGATCAACGGCCGAAATCTCCCAATCCGTGCAAGTGGGACTTTGCCCCCGGTCTTTTACTTTGGCTGCTCGGTCCCCTAGTTTGCGGAGGGCTGTTTCTCAAATAACCATCTGGCAAGCTCACTATTCCGATCCTGAGAAACCGAAACCAACCCATTCCGTACAGCCCATGTTTTAAGAAACCATGGTCTGCCTCTGCCCTGGGGCCCCCTTGCCATTCTCCAGTCAGCTAAAATAGTAAGTCTGATATTGGCAAGGACCTGTCTCTGCTGTTGCTGGATTGGAATCTGCTCTTTCCTAAACTCCTTCTCATTCCTGGCCTGCCAAATCACCTGCATTATAATTCCTCTACAAGCCAAGGCCACATATCCGAATCCATAGGTCTACTTACCCTGTGGGCTAGGAAGAGTACCATACAGAATCCAATCATCAGTCCAGGGAAATTCCCCGTCTGTAATCCTATTCCAGTGAAAGGACCACCACATCCAAATCTCATCTGCTAGAGGACAGTGAAGCCAGAGGTGGGCATTCGATTCCCACCCCCAGTCACATCTGCAGCAGGTAATTGAGAGTTTCATCCCTTTTTGTAGACAGCCACAGTGCTGTCGGGACTGCTTGCAGTGCTTGGAGCCACATTAGGCTAGCATTTTTCTGCGACGGAATTTTCTTCAGGCCTGCCCACAATGCCTCCCAGTCCGGTTGTTGCGCTGTGGAACCCCTTATTTTGGCCAAACAATTGGAGGCAAGAACCCCAGGGGTACAATCTACTTCCCTGTGGAGCACTGACACACCCACCTTTGTTTTGTACATTATACATGGCGTTGTCTCTGAATGGGTCTTGTCCCTACCCCCCCGTTCCCATCCATACAGCAGGGGTTCCATATAAACTCCGTGTGTTTCCCCAAGTACTTTTTTACTTTGTCTTTGCAGTACACCCGTATTTCCGTCAAACCCAGAGTTGTGGGAACCGTCCTTTCCTGAACAAATTGCAAAGGTGTGTCCCTTTTCCTTACGTGAGTCATCTGCCTCTCTTCCACTCTTATCCCCTTTTCGAGCTCTGGCCCCACCACCTTCCAAACAATATTTTCTGCCCCTTCTGCTTCCACCCACGTTCCTGCTGCATTTTCCATAGACGAGGATAACAAGAGATCCACATTAGACGGATTGCTTCTTTTATTTTAGCAAAATTTTGTGAGATTTTGTGAAGACGAGGGAGTCGTTCCCGTAGTACCTCTTCCAAGATCCAGTCCTCCCTTTCCTCATCCCAGACGTGTTTAACCCTGAGTACCCCTCTCTCTATCCAGGCTCTGCCAAAGTTGCCCACGCCTTCTCTAGCTGAAAACGGGAGCCCACCTGGAGCTGCTATTAGCTCATTATCAAACAAACATTGATTCGCCACCTCTCCCTTAGACTTTGTCGCATTTCTTCAATGCGGACACAATAACGATCATAACAATCTCCTCGTGTACCTACGGGTACATCAAATTCTACTTTGTCATAAACATCGTAGGGTGCTGTTTTTCGCAAATCCCAGGAAACCCCTGAACCTCTTTACATAACACCACTAAATCCCCAATCCATAGCCTGTTGTGCATTAACAGTACCAATATCTATCGCCACCTCTCCCTTGGTGCTTGGAGGGTCCAAGGCCTTCGGGCATAACTTCTTTCGAGCATGTAGGACTCCACTCCAAACCCTGGATTTAATCCTCCTATGCAGAAAACTAGTAATCATACAACATTGTTATGCATCCCTTGTATCTGGTAATGCCCATATAAGATGTACTCAGCCATTCTTATCCAGATTTTGGAAGGGTCTTCGAAACATGTTTTTACCATCCATTTCGATAACAGCGCCAAATTTTGTTTTATGGGGTCCAAGATACCTAAGCCCCCTTCAGTTATGGGGAGGGTAACGGACTCCCAAGCCACCTTAGTGATATGTCCTCGCTCTTCATCCGCGGAGGGCTTCCAAAGATACTTCCCTGCTACTCTACAAATTTCTTTGTATGCCTCCTTCCTCATCAAACAAATCGTCAATGGGAACCATAGTAAAGAAAAGGTTGTTGCAGACAACACTAGGGCTCTACCAAGCAAGGACAATTTGTAGTTTCGTAGCCAACCATGAATTCTTGCAGTTACCTTGTCTGACAACACCTGATCTTGTACCCTAGAACAATCCGCTAATGATACCTGCACACCGACAAACCTTTCGGAGTTCTCAGTAGAAATCTGCCTCAAGCCCCAGTCCACCTTCAATGTGTACATGGTCGGCAGCAGATACACCGATTTTGTCCAGTTAATTGAAGCTTCAGAAAGACTACAATAATTGTCTAAGACTCTACGTAATTCATGCAGTGAGCCGGGGGAGTTCTTACATGCAATTGTTAAGTCGTCTGCTAAGGCTCCTCCTTTCCACTGCAACGATGGGGATACATACAATCCCAAAATTCTCTGATTATTCCTAATGTTATCCAATAACATTTCAAGTTGAAGGACGAACAACAGGGGGGCAAGGAAGCACCCTTGCCTTAACGAACGGGTAAGCGGGAACTCATTCGATAAATGGTCATTAACCATGACTGTTGAAACTGCGTCTGCATACATGGCCCGTACCCAGTTCAAAACCCCCTCTCCAAACCCCAACTTCCTTAATGTAGTGGCGACGAAGGCCGAACCGACCTTGTCATAGGCCTTTTTCATATCCAATAAAAGGACCGCCACTTCATGCTTCTCAGCTCCTATGATCTCCAGGGCTTGCACAGTTGTGAGTATATTTTCAAAGATCGTTCTTCCCTTGACGAACGCTCCCTGTTCCCATCCCACCAATTGCAGAAGAACCGTGGCGAGACGTATAGCTAGTGTTTTTGCCAATATTATACACAACGTTTAGGACCAATATCGAACGATAATTCGGAACCTCTCTCTTATCGCCCTTCTTGTACAGTAATGCAATGTAGCCTTTAACAAAGGACTTAGGCAGCGACCCGGTCATCAGTGCCCTATTATAGATCTGCCACAGAAAGGGAGCAAAGCCCCCCCAAACATTCAAGAACAGTTCCACCGGCAGGCCATCTAAGCCAAGGCATTTCCCAAGAGCCATCTGCTTAGCAGCCTGGTGGAGCTCCCTCTCTGTAAATGGTTCCTCCATCCAACTCCTAGTCTGAGACGCAATACCCGATCCCCTCCCCTCCCAGAAGTGGGATGCCAGAGAGAGGTCCATATCAAAATGGTCGTAAGGACGGCGTGTTGTCACAATGTCCCGAAAATCATCCAAGACAAAAGCACAAAGATCCTGAGCGTCTGTGGTCACTGGCTCAAATAAATCAAACAGGTGAGAGAGTTCCCTTACTACCGTCTTTGCTTGTCTCAACAGCAAGGAACGAAACGTCAGTTTCGTCACCCTATCGTAGCCTGTAATGCCTCAAAGTCTAAGCCATTTCAGTCATTCTGATTGTTTCTGTTGATCGAGTGCTTCGAACTGGTTCAAGGCAGCCATCCTTTTGTCTGTCCAATACAGGTCTGCAAAGGGGTCTTGGCCCAGATTCGCCTTCGCCTCCTCAACTAACCTTTTCAATTTCAGCTCTTTCCAATTCCTATTTGCCGCCTTCATACGAGAGAATACGATGAGCGCCTCCCGAACTATTCATATCCCCACTTCTGCCCACTGGTCTTCTGAGGCGAACAAGTCCTTTGCTCCTTGCCATGTCTGCATATGATCTGATATCCAGTCAGGGATGCCTTTATCCTTAAGAATATTCACATTTAAACGGAAAGGAGGCCTAGCCGACTGAACTAGGTCCTTAGGGAGGACATCAATGAACACCAGGTGGTGATCTGACATCGACCCTATAGTGACGTCAGCCCGGATGCACCGGTCCCAAACCACTCCTCTTGCTGCTATAATGTTTAATCTTCGTGTCAGTTGTGGCGTATTTTTATCTGGTTTTGGCCCAAACCATATGAGCCCATGATCCTCCGGGTTCATGGTTCTGTACGTGTCCACCAATGATTGAGACTCAAGTAAGTTCATCAGCAGAGTGATGTCTGTTCTCAGTGGAAAGGGCTCAGGAGAATCCAGGCCTGGGTTCAACGTTGTGTTCCAATCGCCACCGATCACCAGGTTCTCTGTATCTGGAATGCAAGCTAGTAGGTTGGAGAAAAACTCAGTTCTATCTATACGATCCGTGGGGGCATACACTGACATAATCCCCCAGACCTCAGAATCAATTTCTATTTTGACCCAAACAAAACGACCTTCTGGGTCTTCATACGAGTCTAATACCAAACAGTCCAAGTCCTTGTGTAGTAACTCTGCTACACCCCCCTTGGAACCATCTGCTGGAGCCCAATACTGCGGCCCTGCCCACCAGCTACGTATATCCACTATCTTATCTGCATCCAACTTCGTTT